GCTGCCAATGCTTTTGCTAGTATCTTGTATGGGAGTGTCAGCAAGGAGATCGGTCTGTAGTTCCTGATGTCTTCTCTATCACCTTTTTTATATAGCAAAGTAATGACACTGCTACTACTGAGATTACCTAGCCCCCCTTTGAGCCAGCTATCTTCGTAGAAGTTCATTAGATCTCCCCCCCCAAGAGAGGCCAAAATTTAACCCAAAATTCCTTGGAAAGGCCGTCGATGCCTGGTGTTTTTTCATTTTTCATGCTTAGGAGCGCTTGGTGTAGTTCTTCTTTCGTGATTGGTTTGTCCATGGCTTCCGCTTGTTCGGCTGTGATTGTTTGTTCCAAATACTGCAACATTCTTTGTCTTGCTTCTCTTGTTGCCGCCGAGACGGGTGACCGTGTTTTAGTCTGGTATAGGTCTTGGTAGAAAGTTTTTGCTATTTCTAATAGGTTTTCACTGGTGGACATCGTCTCCTCCGGGGGCGAGAGAGTTCTTAGTCTTTCTATGGTGCTCGCCCGAGAGTTGGCCTCAATGCGTGCGAAAAAATGTTTGGACATTGACTCGCTGATTTCGTATTCATTCATTCTGGACCTAATTTGTAGACCCTTCAGGTCCCACCATCTCCATAGAGCCAATTCCTCCCGGGCTTTTTCAAAGACTTCCAGGTATAGTTGGGAGGAAGCATTATCACTGAGATTGACCTCTGCGATCCTCAACACCGATTCCAAGGTCTGCCTTCTTTGTTTCCTAATGGAAGAAAGATTCCTAGAGAGCTTTGTTGTCGTCTTTGACAGGTCCAGATAGCTTTTTTGGAACCATTCCCATCGATCCTGAGTTGCTAGTAGAGAGTTCCTTTGCCCTTGCCAGCATTCCCTCACCCCTTCTTGAAAAGTTTGACTCATTAGTAGGGAGTTGTTTAGTTTGTGAAAGCTGTTCCTTTTTTTGACCGACTGTTCGAAACTGATTATCAGTTCAATGGGCTTGTGGTCTAGTCCTGTATATGGAGCTAGGGGTAGTATCTGTGTGTCTTTGACTGCCCCCATCAATGTCTCTGAGACTAAGAAGTAATCTATTCGTGAAAAGGCTGTGTGTTGAGCATGGTTCTTTTTAATTAACGAGAATGCTCTGGTGGATGGGTGGAAGGTTCTGAAGGGGTCGATCAGACCATGATCTAACATCAGTTTTTGGATTGGCAAGGCCTCTTGAGAAGTACCCACGTTGGGTGAACGGGATATGCGATCCATGGAGGGGTCTAGAGTGGCATTCCAGTCTCCCGCCACTATGCATGGGATCAGCGGGGGGATTCTTCTGTCCAGGCTAGCTGTGAAGGCGGTCCTCTCTGCGGGTTCATTTGGGGCATAGATGTTGAGTACGCAGAACTCTTCTTCGTTCCATTTCAGATGCATAGAGCACCACCTCCCATTGATAAGATCGGCTTCCTTACCCAACACCTCTCCAGCCCAGAGGAATCTGGAGGAGTTTGGTATTAAGATGGCCGTACCTTTTGTACTTGATGTGCTGTCCTCTGCCCATATTTCCTCCTTAATGCCTCCCAACTTTCTTGCAACCATCTCATTCTGGATATTGTTATCTCGCCATTGCTCATTTTCCGTGCACTACTACATACAGCGATAATGACCAGGCGTTCCATTCAGGTGAAGATAGTAGGTAGCTGTTTTACTTGCAGTGTGGCAGATAAGATATTTTCTTGACAGGAAGGAGCTGCAGTATTGCCTACCCAGTGCAAGATGATACATATGTACAACATTATCAGACCTGTTATCCTTAGCAAATGGCAGTCCTCGAAGGAGCATTTGGAAACCAAACACATGAAGGAAGGTGCAAAGAAAATGATATGTAGATTCCATCTCAGAGTGATTGGGCAGCATCAGGGAAGTTTGCGACCCCTAAAATTGTCGGACTGGACTAGCCAGGATAAATCTTGGCCAGGCCGTCCTTTGTCTACTTCTACATCGTGACCCCTACCGACTCCCGCCCCCTCACTACCCTTCTCCTCCTCCCTCCCTTGCTATTTCTCCCCGTTCTTTCCTTGCAAGCCCCAATCTGCCGGCCTCTCGTCAACCTTTACCAACGTGCCAGCGCGGCGCCAGCCATTTTGGTCCGGTAATACTGTTTGGCCGAAGAATGCAGCTTGTGGCAAATTGGTGTTTCGAGTTTGCCTGTGAAAGGTAGTGGTGGTTCAAGAAGGAAAATCCACGTTGTGGTCGTCCAATCTAAGGGTGGTTGGAGCACCCAGAGATTCGAGGCGTAGCACTTGTAGATAATTTGCCTCTATTAGTGAGGAGCACCTGCTGGGAACAAGAAATGGAAACTAGGGTGTGAGATGAGGCAGGCAGGGGAAAGGAGGGGTGGACGGAGGACCCGCAGGTCTTTTCTACCTCAGCAAAAAGAGGCTCGGAGTGGTGACTTGTAAAATATAAATGAAAAACGTAAAAAAAGACCTAGAACTTACTGGACTGTCAAGCTGCTTGCTCGGGTTCGGAATCCCGTGGCTACACACCTAAAAAAGACCACTAAACTTTAGTCCTAGACCAGGGATAGAGTCCCAGCAGCAACAACCCAAAGGAAAACAAAGCAGCAGTGTTGTTGGGCTCCACTTGACAAATTCCGGTGAAGAGGGGCCTGTTTGATTTTTGAATCATTTTCTATGACCTCCTGGGAAGAGTATTTCCTCATTATGCGACAGTGGTCTGGCAAGTTGTCTGGGCCCAGACATTGAAAAGTGGATTCAGATGTCCCATGGCCAGCCAGACATCCAGGCCGGTAGCCCAGGCCTGCTCCATGTTTTTCTTCCCCAGCTGTAAAGGTCAGTTTTAGTTGCCCTCGTTTTTTCCCCTCCACTGCAAAGGTCAGTTTTTTTCTCTCCTCATTCGCATCGCATTTAGAGGATCATGCGTCACATCCCATGGGCCACATACGCTCACATCATGCCTAACTCCCACCAAGCCCTTCAATGGAAAATAACTCACCGCTGCCTCCCAACCCCGGATTGGGTCACAAGAAGATCCAACCTGGAGCAGGCTGGGATCCTCTCCCCAATACGTGCTCACTGCTGTCCAGACGCACAGCCACGAAGGGCAGATCTCGAACACTGTCTACTCGCGTGCCCAATGGCGGCTCGATTGTGGCAATGGCGGGACGCGATGTGGCACACGCTTACAGGCTCTGCATTCCACGGGGACATCGTTCTAATCCTAATGGGGAAACACAAAAACATGCCAGCAGTCTGGACACCCTTCCAACGTAACTTTTTTAGCCACATGAGATTGGCAGCCCTCGTGGTAATCTGGCGAATTCGGTGCTCTGCAGAGTGACAAGATGCTGCCTTTGGCTTCCACCAAGCCAAAGCACAGTTACTGGAAGTCATACTGGCAAACCTGATTAAAGCCAGCAAGAAGCTCGCTGAGGTACTGGCAGCGACCCAGGATGGGGAGTGCAGGAGAAAGGCCATAGCTGCCGTTCAGGAAATCTGGCTTGACCCCGAATGCAAGATGGCGGAAGTGCACGGCAACGGGAAGCTTAGTCGGAAGAACTGGGGAATGCAGGGATGACCAGTGATCCTACCGCCGGGCCGAATGCTTCCCTGTGCCCCTGCCTCCCCTAACATTGGGCGCTATGCCCATGGCGAAACTCGATGTAGGATCAGGAGCCCAACTCCCGAACGAGTTACCCGCTCGAGTCCCCTCCTCCCACCCCCCCCAGGCCGGGGCACCAACGCAGTCAACTCAACCCCCCCCAACGCCTGATCAAACACCGCCCCCCCTGCCCAACGACCCGGCCCCAGTGTCCCCGCAGCCTCCCCCCCCACTTCTGATG